TGCACAAGTTGCGTGTAGCCTTGATCAAGGCTGTTAGGACAAATAGAGCGTCCAGGTGCAACACGTTACTGGTCCTCAATAAAGAGGAACCAATAATCAAGGAATCTAAAACCCAGCGAGAAATGGATCGCCACCGAGTGACGGATATACGTCGACTGGTAGGCTTAGATACAAAATGTCACATAAAAAAGATACACAGAATAGGTGTTTGGAAGCAACTAGACTCGAACGGGGAGATTGCGGCCCGACCAATACTATTGGAGTTCGGAGAGGACCAAGTGACATGCTCTTTTCAAAAGCATCCCTTGTGATTCGGCGTACAAACGGGCGCTACAGCATAGCCCCGGACAATCCAAGGCCGCATGGGAAAGTAGAGTATAGGGAGTCCAAGGGAAGGTTGAGAAACCAGGGTACGCAGTTGGCGGCAAACAACCCCTACAGAAACGGGGTGGTAATTATAGATATAATAGAAGAGGAGGAATGTAAGACCTGCTTGCCGAGCAGATCGGTAAGTGAAGATGAACAGAGAACTGTTCAAACGTCCAGTCCATGGTAGAACCGACGGACTCCGAACTTAGAATGCGCAGGACAATGATCAAAAGTAACCCATCAAAAAACGGGTTCACGGCTCGGGCGCTGCGTTCAAGACCACAGCAAGATTCGGGAGCTTATAATGCCCAATTCCGGAAAAGTTAGTTATGTAACAGTCAAAAAGACTGAAAATTCCTCTCAATTCCCTTGCATCTTCTTATCTTTCTTCGCCATTCTATCGTGCATTCTTTTCGACAGTGGTTTTCATGCCGGTGAATTTTCACTTCTGAACTTTCTATTTCACCTTTTTTTACGGTGAAGCATATCTATTGGACACACACTTCAAGTGTTTTGCTCTTACATGTAAATGAGATTCAGTGTTTTTCCTTGTTTTATTGCAACCAAAGTTTCGATTGGACGCTCGTTGTTGAACTGATCGTTGCTTTCGGTTATATTGAACCCGTTTTGGCTGTAACGCTCAACATTATTTTGCTTGATCTGTTGAACCGTGCGGAATTTTCTTATTGTTCCAGAATTATCTGAAAAGTAGTTCAAACCACTGATTTTCTTATTTAGTTTTTATTACCGCAGAA